AGACGTTGCAAGAAATGGCGGCTAATCGATGTCAGTGGCGTTCGTGCTGTCAGTTTCTTTCCAGATTGTCTGATTGAGCGGTTGGAGGTGTAGACACCTCAGTATGCTTGACATAGGCCAGCATTAGGTCCGCTCCCTCACCCACTCTTTTTCTCTTCTCTTCACTGTATGGCTTTTGATACAATTATATATATATATATATATATATATATATATAACTAAACGAACTTCATGGTTGTACGACAGTGAAGCATCAGTAGCAACACTGATGTTGCTGTCTGATGATGATGATGATGATAATGATGATGATGATGATGATGATGACGATGATGATGATGATGGTTTCGCTTCGGTTCGGGCTCATCACTTTAGCACAGTCCCCGAGTTTCCCTCAATCTTATATTCTACGTAAACCGAAATAGCATGGAATTAGTACGCTCATTTGATGATGATGGTTTCGCCCTTCTTCGGGCTCATCACTTTAGCACAGTCCCCGAGTTTCCCTCAATCTTATATTCTACGTAAACCGAAATAGCATGGAATTAGCGAACTACGCTCATTTGCAAACAAATTTGGGTTTGCTCACCTGGAACCCCGCTGAATCTCTTGTTTGGGATGCTTTTAAGCATCATACTCAAAACGTCTTCGCAAAAGTCCATCTAGTTGAATCAATTAAACTGGCCCGATGATGACAGAGTAAACCAGCTGAGAACATCTGTCGGAGATCTCGAGAGTTTACGGACAATTTTCGAGCATTAGGTGTCAGTGTTCTATGGAAAACAACTCATCCCAGGACAAATTCAAAGCACATCCGCCTCGTATATTCGACTGGCTCACTTGTTTTAATTTTTCCCATCGAAGTCCGCCCGCTCATCTTTGAGGTTGCCTAGAAAACTTGTAAAGTTTTAAAACTAACATCCATCCACTTAATCTTGAGGCCCATCAGCACACGCAAGGGACTATTCCGGACGTTAGACATTTCACAATAGGTTATGTGTACACGCAAATATCTTTTAAACGCACTTGATCTCACAGGACCACTGTCGATTGAGAGATGGCAGTTCGATCCGTCACACTAACGCTAGTCTGGGCGAGGTAGTTCAGTTGATTGGAGCGAGAATTTACTGAACGAAATGTCCATAGTTCGAACCCTGCCACTGCAACTCGATTTCTCCTGTCTTGGCTTGGGCAACCTAGCGGTATCCCAGCTTTCGTGCTTCTTTCGGGTGGCACGGCAGCTGGAAATCGACTCATTTTAGTTTGAGGGTGTTCCTAGCCTGTCCCCAGGGACGCAAGTAGGACATGCGTTGTGTCTTGGGATGTACAAGCTATGCAACCAACTGGGATGGAATTCGCAGTGAATGCGTATAGCTAGATTGCGTACAACGTCAAGAAAACACCGTACGAAAGTTTAGAAAGGAAACATCGACAGGAGTTTGGCCATGCCTCCTAGAATAACTTGGGGGCCATAGAATTGAGCGCGTTCATGTTCACATTCATGTATATGGTATGTATATATGATATATATGATATATATATATATATATATATGATACATGATATATATATTCATGTATATGTATATACGCGTTCCCACAGAAATAAGTCTGTCAACTGTAGGGAACTATCACAAAGATTGAATGACGACCAATGAAAATACAGGTAAAATATTCCAGCCCGGATGAAAATCGATAAAGTGATGAGCGCACGATGCTGGTCGATACTGCGTCCGCGTCTGATTAGGTCTAAAGAGGTTGTTGTCGTTGTCTCCCAGAGTTTTCTTGAAACTGATGTACTTTAACCGACTCAGCCAAAGTTGGAGAGACAGGCAGTAGTTCATGCATGACCCTGTTGATTCTTGCAAGTTGGCTAACTCTGTACCTCGGAAGTGGAATATTCACACAGCATGTCCGAATAGCGGGTTTAATACCCAGTCCTTACTAATTTCTGAAGATTTTAGAACAAAGTGATTTGGTTTGTTCTTAACGGCTTGAATAAACTGAAAGTCCGACGTTTTTTCAAGTACTCACTTGTAGAGCAGAACAAAGTGATTTGGTTTGTTCTTAACGGCTTGAATAAACTGAAAGTCCGACGTTTTTTCAAGTACTCAGCATCCTTGTAGAGCTGTCGAGAAGTGAACAACATTGCGATTTGTAGGTTGGAAAATAAGTCTCAAACAGAAATAGAATTCCGACAATACCGCTGAAGACATTGAAACTGACAGCGTATCTCCGTGTCACTGATGGATAAGCGTAGCAATACAATCATATTCATTGATTCAAGAGGTTTCATTTTGCACCCGGATGCGTCCAAACGGATATTACCGAACCGAATGCATCCGATAGTTAATTGGCTAAAACGTACTCAGCATTTTCAATCTCCTGCCTAACTACAGCAATAAGACTTTGTTTTTCATGTTCTTCTTTAGGACATTGTACTTTGGTTAACCGTGGGTAACATTCATCTGCCAAGACACGAGGATCTTCCAAACACTGTGACCACCGGCGGCCGTCTCTCATTTTACATCCAGCCACACAATTTGTTCAAGCACAGTCCTGATGCCTACAGTTGTGACCGAGTATATACCAATACGGTAAGAACAACCATTTTACGCGTATAGTTCGTTACAAATGTGTTTTAACCGTGTTTTATCAGCAAGTGTGGTTAACGAAACCGAGACGTTCTGTGAACATGTGAACATATGCACGTATAGTACTACTAAATAACTGTGATTTAGACGTTACCATAAGGTTATTTTCGAAACTAGATTTCCGGAGTAATGTAGGCCAGAGAAGGATGTCAAATGAAGCTCGAAAAGTATAAATGATCACAGGCGGTCAAAGTGAACCGGGTTAGATGACTGTTTGTAACGCACTACTCATAAGGTTGCTAAAAATTCGTCGACCGCCCACGACCGGTTTCGCCCTCCTTGGGGCTCATCAGGTAGGCGCAGTCCCCGAGTTTCTGTCAACCTCTTGTTCTAATTGAAACCAAATTGCATGAAGTTACGAAACCAAATTAGTTTGCAAATGAGTGTAGTTCGGGCTAGACAACGTTGCTAAGAATGCGGTCAAAGGCGGAGCAAGGTTTGAGTGCATTGTGAGCAAACTGTGAAATGTTTGTGTCAGCACCTAAGATAAAATATTCATTAGTTCTTTCAAACAGTTAACATAACAAATAAAACATTTTTACTAGGTAAACCGAGGAAAAACACATATATTTGGTTAAAATCGAAGTACTCACTGCGTAGGACATTGTGCACGGCTGGAATTCGCTCCTTCGTTTATAGTATGGTTTTTTTGGAACTTCTGATCAAAGAACGCAAGTGTTTTTACTACACATTCAGAGCACGCTGTGCGTTAAAAGTGAACGCCACGGTCATTTTTTTTTGACAAAATTCACCTGTGGGTGATATGTTGCACTCGTATTGTAACTTACGTCCTTCAGCGTAGTGTCAAGTTAGATCTTTGGACGAGTGTCAACGTTGCTGTTCATAGTTTAAGTTAAACGTATAGTGATTCTTATCTAAACTTTCAACAAAACAAGTTATTTTGCTTCAGATGAAGAACACTTGAGCAGTCATCGTTTTTAGGGTAGCAATAAATCTACCGATTGCTACCAAACCTTTCCGAAAAAACTAATTTTCTCATGATGAAAAACACTCATTTGCGAACTAATTTGTTTTTTTCCGAGAGACTCACCTGGAACCCAGCTGAATCTCTCGTTTATGATGCTTCCAGGCAACTGAATGTGCTACACCAGTCGCTACGATATTCGAGATATCGCAATACATGTATATTTGTAAGACACTACTCATAAGGTTGCTGAAAATTTGCCTCATAGTTCGTGAACCAAACGCAATCAGTCCAATGACCACTGGTAGTTTCGGGGCTAAAATTCGGGATCGCTTTTGGGCATTTCATCCTGCACATGATGCTGATTTATGCTCAAGAGCACCGCTTCGTCCTTATTGGGAATCACTGGTGCAGTGAGCCTCAGGAAACTCAAAGGAGTCCCAAACCTGCCACCTTCGAGCTAGTAGTGTGTGCAATTTTAACCATTCAGCCACGAGCGCCTGGTCAGCCATCTATATGAAAGATTCTATATGTGGTGAGCGACTGCGCGTTAGCCTGTAATGTTCATCTTGAAATCAAACACCATGTGTGATGGTATAACTGCTTCAGTCATACTTTACAATCCTGGCCGATTACTCTACTCCCCAGAACCCACATGATGAAGTATAGATCGTGATTTGACGCCGCAGACTGACAAGCAACCTTTGCGATGCACTGCTAACACATCTACACCAGAAGCTGATTGCTGAATGACTGTTTTTCATACTCTGGTACTGGGTGAATTGTATTGGGATAGAGCCTTTGGGGATGAAGTCCCTCGAGGATGTAGTGGCTTTTGCCACACCGGTTGAGTTTGTTAGTGCTCTAGTTGTGCTGTAATCAGGTTGATTATCGGAAGATCATTGAAGTACTAACAAATGTATGTTTTATCAGAATGGTGATGGATACAATAGTTAGATGAAATTGATAAAAATAGATACAATGCGAAATGTGGAATAGGCCAAAAGGGGATTTGTCGTTTGAGGACAACTGTTGAGAGTTCCTGAGAGAAGTTCCGTATGCGGGATGTGTCTTCTGTTCAGTATAGCTGCTACGCGTGTTTCGAAGTGAGCCGAGGAGACTTGTGGATCTCGATTGACTTCCTGTCCTCTGTGCGTGCACGTGTCTGTTGGGCCGAGTTGTATGGCTATTTATTGTGTGGAGTGTGAAGAGAGGGGTGTCCCTTCGTGTTTGATAATTTCACGAACCTGAATACAACTTGACCTGAAGGGGGTGAAGTTCGTAAGCCTGGCGTGTGACGCAGGTGGTAGCGGCGTAAACAAAAATGGATGAGAATTTGTAGTGTACAAGTTGTCGGCTAAGGTTGCAAGTGGGACAGGAATTGTCACGTGGTTTGAACGTCTGTGGCGAGTGATCTAGTGAGTGACAGCTACATGTTCTAGGGAAAGTCCGCTCAGCTAAGGACCAATAGTTCATCCATTATTGGTGGCTGGATGAAACACGTTGCGGCACCTCAATTTTCTCAACGTCTCCCTGATCAACCGAACGTTGATGGTACTCCAGTTTCTAGCAAGTCCCAACGACATGCCGACTGTTGGGACCTTTCTATACTGAAGCTTAGAGACTTCGACGCGTAACACACTACTGCTTTCCGTCTATCATTATATGAAGTGGAATTACTTTTTACAGTAGTGAATCACTTGATTTTTTATACCACGCCTTTGTTGAGGATACGATGGTTGTGGCTGGTGTTCCAGCATCTGGAATCCCCTTTCCGGAAATGGTTTGGTTGTTATATAAACCCATGTGAATTTCTACAGATGAACGCAATGCACTCAACTATTTTCTACTGAGTCGGTCCAGTATCTCGCCTAGGGGTGAGATGATGAAAAGATATTCGACAACCGCGAGGCTTCTTGTTTTGTTTTTCCTAGGAGAACCAGCTCCGAACGTAACGGGATTGCCAATGGAATAACCGTTTTTCGTTGAGGCAAATTTTATTGGTTGTTCTTCACTCGCCCTTGACGGATGAGTTGTATTCTTAGTATCACTTCTGACCGCTTGTACGCGGCAGTGATCAATAGATCAGCCGGGTCGCACATTCATTGACTTTTCTTGTTTGGCCAAGCGCACCAGGCGATCACGTGGCTATCCAGAACGGGGTTCACGGTAATAAGAAGGCATTAAGGGAATGTGGTCCACAACAAGTTGGCGACGGAGCATTTGGAAATCGAACTCCACAATGCCAGTTTCAGATGAGGAACTGATTTCGAGTTTGCAACAGCAACAGGCAAAATTTGAAGAGTCTCGTTGAGGTTAGTCGAAGCAATCCTTCACAAATTGGAAATTCGAGACCCAGCCACAACTGAAACGAAGAAATCCTCTGTTGACGCTGTTGCGAACAGTATGGTTGAGTTTCACTACGATGCAGAATCCAATTCCACCTTCAAATCATGGTTCCGAAGATACGAAGACATTTTTCGGACGGAATTTGCAGATTTTGATGATGTTTGGAAATCACGACTGTTACTCTGGAAGCTCGGGACAAGCGGGCATGACAAATTTATTAATTTTGTTCTCCCCAAATCCTCGAAAGACCTTTACTTTGATAAACTTGTGCAACTGTTGAATGATATTTTTTGCGGACCGTCTTTTTTACTGAACGTTCTCCACAAGAGTCTGAAGCTGGTCAAATTAGACATTGATGACTGTCTTACGTATGCAAGAGCAGTGAAACGTCAGTGTGAAAGATTCAAACTCAGGGATCAATTTCAATATCCCATCTTTATCTGTGGGCTACGGTCACCAGGAAGTGCCGATATCTGAACACGATTGCTAAGCAAGATTGAACAGGATTCATCAGTGAACCTCCAAACGGTTACCACAGATTGCCAACGTTTGCTAAATCTTAAGCACTGTACAGCCATGAGAGAACGCAATAATCTATCTCAGTCCGGCCACTTGCACACCGTTTCGAAGATTATTCAAAGGCCAGGTGCGAAGAAGCGATGGAGTTCAGTCCAATAATCTATCTCAGTCCGGCCACTTGCACACCGTTTCGAAGATTATTCAAAGGCCAGGTGCGAAGAAGCGATCGGTGGAGTTCAGTCAGCCACCTACACCCTGCTGGCAGTGCAACGAATGTCACTTGGTCCGTTTCTGCCCTCTCAAGAAGCACCAGTGTCAGAAGTGCCACAAAAAAGGACACAAAGAAGAGTGTTGCCGCACAACCTTCCCCCAACAAGGCAACAAACCATTCAAGCGAACAGTGCGTCCTTCAAGGCCACAGATCATTACAAGCCACTCCCAACCTGGACTGGAAACGTCAGAGGGAAACTGTGGTCCACAACAGTTCTCATATCCGTTACGGTCGTCGAAACGGACAGAATCATGCCGCCAGGCTGCTTAATGCTTCATGATTTACTTACTGTGGATGAATCAGTAGCACAAAAACACTTGATACCTGACTCCACACCTGGGGAAAGCATCACCCTAGACACCTTCCGAACTGCTAGTTTAGCACAAAAGAAACTACTCATCATCTTGTGAGTAGTTTCCTTTATAAAAATATACTACGATCTCTCGAATATCGTACCAACTGAATCATGCGGCGGCCTGTGTGCAACACATTCAGTTGTAGAATATCATAAACGAGAAATTCAGTTGAGTCTCTCGTGAAAACCAAACTGATTTGCAAATGAGTGTATCTCTCTAGCAGTTTGGTAACAGGAATGACCCTCCTGAGTTTAGTGCAAAACCCCCTCAAAATACATCAGCAAATCATTTTTCAGGTGCGTTCAGACAGAACCTCTAGAAAGAGAAATTCTCACTGAAGCTTTAGTAATGTAAATCAGACGGACACAACAGGTTTCTGAACACTCTTTGACAGTCGTTTAACGGTTTTGCTCCTTCAGTACTCCTCAGCAAGGCGTAATACACGAGATGAATCCCTCTTTAACCTGAAAGTACTTTGGAACTTAAAACTCTGCCGTTTTCACTAAGCCTTGTCTCCAGGCACAACATAGGTCCGATGCGAATTTGCGGACTACGTCAACCTGATAAACCCAACAAATGAACAAAACCGATCCCGTGCTATCGTGTTTTGAGCACATATCAAAAACATATACTGCAATATCTCGGATATCATGTCATATGGGACATGCGCCTCCGTTTGTAAGCCACATTCGGTTGAAGGATACAATAAACGAGAGGTTGATTTATGAGTGAATGTATTCCATCAGTAATACAATGAGTACGTATTCGTTCTAAAGAAGCCAGGTGATTGGAAGCATACAAAATCCATATTATTTCTCATTTTTTGGATCATTTTTCGCTTTCAGAAAGGATTATTTCAAACTCATATTGCGTATACCAATCACGCTACTCATGTTCTGTCAATCAAATTTGTCTGATGATTCAATCACTCATACAATTACCCAGAAGAATCACATGTCGTGAATGACACGAGATGAACGGATAATTTCAACCTGAGTTTTTGGTTAGCATACATGTCAGCATGTGCTCTCTAGGGACGAATAGAGGGAGCATACAGATGGCATACACGCAGAGCGTAAGAGATGTTCATACAGTGAGCTGGACACTTACATCACCGATGGAGGTGAGATCTTCAGTGCGTGTGTCGTGCCGCCCGTCAATGACAGGACATCGAGTGGCTGTGTACATATATCTATATACGTACCGTTGGTAGATCAGCCAGACAGTCCAACTAGGCTAACAAACTAACGAGAAATCATATCATTTGAGGTGTCGGCGATCTTTTCATATTCAGCGGTCAACAGGTTACCATTTTACAATTTGCCATTTTATCTATGTAGAGTTTTAGTGGTTAGACTTCACGTGCTGTGACGGTTTGCGCAGCTCAGCGACCGATTGAGCTATACTGCGGGTGTCCCCACGACACTCATAGAGTCTCTCATACCAGGTTGGTGCATGGGTAGAGGTCAGACGAACACAGCCTCTTGATCCTCCAAGTTGCGGGTTGGATCATGTGGCGACTTGTTTCGTAGAAATGGTAATGAATGGTAATGCATTTACCGTCAAACACCGCTGTCTTGCGGTTAGGCTTTTGAATCAGAGGCTTTGGCCGAGTACCCCAATCGTCTTCCTATCTAGGTGTGGGCGCCTTGACAGTATCCGAGCCCGCGTACAACCACGAACTGCATATATAAACGGCAGCGAAGCATCGGTTTTGAACACTGATGTCATGCCTCCGATGATGATTAGTGGTTAGCCTTAAGTAAAATGAAACATGGTTCATAGTACGCACATGCTTCATGTGGGCCTTGTCTTAGCTTAGAAGAACAAGCAATTTTAATTTACACGGAATTTGACCGACTCAGGCAGCTAACTCGGATGAACTATATTCACACACTCGATTAAATAGGGCTTCCATTCAAACATCAAAGTTTCCCCAGGGGCTCCCCTTCAGGAGAGAAACACTGTCACTGATGCAGACTTCTCTCACTTCACCGCAACTCTCTGTAGCAACGTATTCGCATTTAGTCATTTATGGGTGTCTCTATGGTTGCCATCTGTCAACTTGATTGAATCGATTAGGTCACATGAGAGCTATCATGGTGACCGCTTTATTATCTTGCCGATAATTTTGAAAAATTTCATTTTTTAAGTTTGAACAATACCTGTTGTATCTTCGGTCAGCTACTTTATTTACATGAGCGATCAAAACCCTCAGCCACGCAGCGCTATACAGAAAAACGATGAAGGAGGCATTACATGAACGTAACGGGAACTACAGTGACATGTACACTACGTTCAGTTGTAAGACCCTTTCGGTGCCTAACTGTCATACCATCAGAAGAAAGCTCGAGAGCTGGGATACTGCCAGGTTGCCCAAGCCTAGGCAGGGGAATTCGAGAGGCGGAAGTTGGGTTCGAGACACAGACCCTCCGGTCAGTAAATTCGCGCTCTATCCACTGAGCCACCTCGCTCCAGCTCCACAGTACAGCGGTGAGCGGTCTGCAACCACACACGTACATTCTGCCCGTCAAAGATGTAATTAGCTCAAGTCTAGAAACCGCGCGAAGGTCCGAGACAAATGAAAGTGTGTCTCTATTTCAAACAACATCCATACTTGAACAGGGGGCGGGGAAGTTGGCTAAGGCGGTTTGAAGTCAATGATATCGTGAAGCAAGAAAAATTTAGTCTTGACTCCCTTTCAATATTCATATGAAAAGTAAAACATTGCAGATTTCTGACGGATTTGTCCCAAGTTGTGCGAAATAATTGCGACTGATGAAAAACTGCAATAATGGATGCCTAGAAGAGTTCAAAGATATGATCGAACATTTTTGCACGAACGATCCGACAGACGGCGGAGCATGACAGTTGTCGTGAGAAAGCTAAGCATGACACCAGCGGCACGTAAGACACAATACGTTGACGGTCTTTTGGATGAAAAGATAGTTCGGCTTCCTTTGTACTCCTGACGCAAAGCTATTCTATCTAATCAACTGGTGTTTCTGGACCACCACCAAGAGTACTACGTGTTAACAGTTCCCGAAACTAAATGTAGACTAGTAAAAAGTCGTAGTCGATAGATCCGTTTCATCCAAAATATACTATCATAATCAAAAGACTATAGTCCGAATTCATGACTTGAATTTATTTTAGTATCACACCCACCAATTTTTTTTTCAAAAAATGAACTTTGAACTTTATGCATCCATAATCTAAATTGCCCAGCTAGAATATATGCTCCAGTTTCTCCCATTGTTCTTTAATTTCTATTCAACTCTACCTGAAGTATACAGATTTTGGGCCAAGACATAACAGTTTATAAGGAATACTGGTGAGATTAAACTAAGCTTGTAGTATGATAGTTACTGTAAAACTGCTAAGAAAACTGCTAAGAAAAGTTCCGACGGGACAACGCGACTAGTAACCGACCAATTAGTCATTGCTTCATGTCATTTGTTCCCTTGCTTGATTCAGCTCGAGGAATGGCTCGAAGGATTTTCAGAACCAAGTTTCTGCCACACAGAAACAGTGCCAACTCTATGAACCAAAGAACTAGCTTCTGACAGGTCCTACTCACTGGAGAAATCGCGAAATTCCTGCCTGGCGACAAACACATCCACGAGATTGAAGCAATATTTGTGTAGCTTGACTTTTTTCGATACTCATTTTAGCTTTATCGATATCTGACTCACCATTACTACTTTTTCCATATGCAATAATTAGCCTCTATCTGAAGTTCATTTTTACTTGGAATATAGCTGAAAAGGGAAAAAAATTCGAGATAGATAATGAAACGAAGAGGTTATCGGCTGTGAACAGTGGTCAGCAAATCAGTCCTAATTTTCATTTGTGAGGGCTTAAGAAGTGATAAGACCACCCTTGAAAGTTGAGCGGTCACTTATTCAGTTGATTTTATTCAGTAATAATATCTGAATTAAAGTCCAGCTGGTTTATCAGTCCCAAAAACTTCTCAATCATTACTTGCTGTAGATGCCATAGACCTTGTCCGGTAATGATAGTGGCAAATGGCCTGTCAATGCTGCCACGAGTAAACGATTGGCTGTGGCAAAACCAATCAGCGATCAGAACACACCGATCGATAAGACACACTGAACTGCATCCCTGTTTGTCATGCAACGTGAAATGATGAGTAATTTTAGCCAGATGCATGCCCAAGACTAGGTTCGTTCACAACTCACGTGACCGCACGGTAGAAACTTTTGAGGACAGAACGAAATGGCGATCAATTCGACCATCCACACGACGGTGTTCGATAAACAGATGCACCTAGAACACCGAACACTGGTATGATTATAAAGTTCCTTCACTAATTCGAACCACCAACTGTTCAGGTTTTCTACAAAGCCCCTTTTGTAGGAGGACCGTTACAACTTTGTCAGATCGAAAAACGAAAAGTCAGGCGTGTAGTCTACTCTCGGTCAGCCTGACTCATAGAATTCAGGCCGTAACAGCTCGGTGTATTAACTGGTATACATATGCATTTGCAGTACTGAAAAAAACCGAGGTGCTGGACAAACAAATTAAGTCCTAATTGGGTTTGAGTAAGGGGAAGTGCTTCCCACGAGAGGTCTAATGAGTGAGCCAGTCATATAGTTTAAGTGGTAGTGATGATGGTATGAGGCTGCCTGGAACTGATCGGGTTGTATTTAATGGTGAACACATGCGCCCGATTGGTCTACCGAAATTGACCGGATGGATACCGGGGAAACTATCAGACCCATTAGTGACACCAGCATATTTGTAACTGAGCTATCGTAAGCTGTTATGCGGGACCTGTGTAGCAGTCTCAAGTCATCGGCAATCTAGATCAAAGCGACGGTGTAATTTCTAAAATAAAACAAAAATGAAATACTCTATCACAAGGATTACTGGCTGTTGTTTTTTGTTCAGTGAGCCGAGGTGAGCAATTAGGTTGGTGGAGAATGGTTTGCAACCTGACTGCTCAGCGCCGCCAAAATCCAATTAAATAACAATCAGTATTGTTATACGGCTTCGTTGGTATTGAGTTATCGCGGCCTGGATCCATTAGTATACTCTAACAAGTGATGCCCTGCAATTTAAGCTACCGATCTAGAGCACTGTCGTGTTGTTTCCTCTCGTGGGGTATCCTCTCCAGTCTGTTTCACCAAGTTTGGACTACATACTGTCAAGATTCTCTTCGTTGGGGAGCGCAGCACCAAAACCCTATCAGAGCAGTGCGTGTTTTAGACTTTCAGAAGAGACCTACGCAGTTTGCAGTAAAGCAATACCTGGATGTCACTGGAGCCGTTGATCGAACCTGCGTGTGACTATTCCGTATTTTCACACAAGGGGACGCTTCTTTCATTGGCCGGCCGCATTAACGTTGCTCAGCATCGATGAAATTGCTTGACCTGACAACATCCTACTATGTCAACGAAAGTGTAACATTTGAAAGCGCAGCCCATGAAACTACTTCTAATCAAAGAAATCCAGATGTCCACTGCACTTGATGTGAAGAACTACAATGCAGAAGGGTGCTTTTTGAACCTGATCTATCCCGGGAGAACTGCTTTTCCCCAATTTACTTTCCATCGGTCCGGGTGCATCGAAAAGGGAAATCAGTGGTGGCCTGCTGAAACACCCGAATCATCGGTGGTGGCCAAAACGGAAAGTCAGCCCCACTTTCGATTAATCAATTAAAGGTCTAGTAAGACAAGATCCGCTGTGGTATATTACGTCTGACAGTTTCAGCAACTAATTGAAAGGGGTTTGGACTAAAACAGCGATTACATGCACCTCCACGTTGATTTATTATTTACAAACACAGTTGTATTGGCGTACAAATTAAACTTTACAACAAGAGGGCAGGCTAGTCTTGAGTGGCTTTTTGCCAACAAGGTAACCTTGGATGTCCGCAGACAGACCCTTATTTGTCCGACCAATTCATCATCCAAGCTGTCTGGAGGCTATTCCAAAATAAGACGTCAACCAATAATCCACGCTCAGGAACGCCGAATCTGTAAGAGTATTAGAACCACACACAATTCCATCTCTAACATGTGGCTGAAACCACGGACTTTGTCAATTCTGAATATGTGAACGCGTCCGTGCCTTGAGACACATTCAAGTTACCTAGAGTTCTGTCCACCGGGGTCTGTGGGGAAATTCGGCAGGTGAGTTTGGGTCTTGTCACCTCAGCCGCACTAAAACACCACGGCGATGCAATGAAAAATTTATGAGGTCGAGGATAAGATAGCGACCGAACTTTGATCCATTTAGAGGGATTTCCAGACTGAGAACGTGAACTTCCTCTTACGCTTAAATGGTAGGAAAACCCTGCAGGGAACAAAAAAGCTCATGTCAACAGATCTCAATAAAATCAATGAGGCTTCTTAAAAAGGTCACAACACAACCTGCTTGGATAACTACACGCCGCCATAAAGTTCAACTACTAAACCGAAGACACCGTCCCCAACGCGTTAATCTTGAACAGACAAGAACCAGCTTAAGCAAGGGCAGTGAGGAGTCTCTGTCCGCTGTGCCACTTGTTCAGTCGAGTCTTAGAATCCTGTAGTGCCGACGGAGGACGGACTGCTAGAATAACTCCTATGTACCCAACGCTTGTCAACTCCATGATGCACCAACGTGTGTTCCAATTTCAAGTATTCGTTTGGTTGAAAGTGCCAGAGCGGTTAATGAATGCGACCAATCTTCGTTGGCCGCTTCCAATGAAGTATATCAATTTGCGTTCAAGACGTGCAGGATGTGGTAGCCTCTCATCATCACACAATTCTGGAGGTTTTAGGAGCCGGAACGAAATGATTCTGGGATTTTAGCAGGACATTGAAAGCACGTGCGTTGAACAAAACACCCAAGTGTACGGAGACTGTGTCCACACAGTGGCTAGGTAGTCATTTTGAGGTTGCTCCGACGATTGTGACCCCGATTACTACCGAAAACGATCGTAAGAAATAAAGATGTCACGATGTCCTCTGGCTTGAAGACTTTATTTCCTAAAAAAGGTCAGTTCGACAATCCGAAAGTCCACACTCGTCGCTTCATGGTAAGCCGGACTTGAGTCTTTGCGCGGAATTCAGCAGTGCCACATGGGCAACTTACGCCTGACCCACATTGAACTTCCCAGTTTTAGGGCGGGTGCAAGCTTCGCTGTTTGAAGGGACCGCAGAAGAGACCATCAAGGGATATCTAATGAAGTAGAGGAGATTCCTTTCGATCGCTCAATACAATAGCCATACCGCCATATCGGTTCCAGCCGTTCAAATTGTTGCTGTTGAGAACCTTGTCGAGCTGGAGGACGCAGACGACGTCACCTTTATGTTCGTGGACAAAGGCTAAGTTCAAGGTCTATTGTATAATCTGACCACCATCACACCATCTTTCTGCATGCGCCTTCAAAGTGCGAAGCCATGCTTTAGAACGTGTAGTCCCTGAACAAACCCCTTACAATTCAAGGGGAACCATGGGAGGCTGTGAGGAACTTCACACTTTGGTAGACTCTGTAGATTATCAGAAACTATGGTGGTCACTGGCGATCAAAGGTGCCTCTTTAAGGACGTTGCACGTTGCGGACGGGTAGAGGGTAAGGTGTCACCCAGTTTCAACAAGTCCAGTGGTGAAAGACAAGGACTCCCTTTCTCACTATTCGTCTTCAGCTTTGTTAGCGATGAGCCTACCCGTCTGCCTCTGAAATTTCGGGAATCTAAATGCTGCCACAGAAACTGCGACAGTGTGATTCATGTCTTACGTATCTAAAACATGATCTCTACTCGCGGAGGTTGTACAAAATCCTCCATCTCTTGATGACCGTTTTCTCTAAATCATTCGTTGAGTGCGATTGGGATACTGGATCAGCAATACTGAGGTACGCCAGATGGCTTTATGAAAAGGGAACTATCAGGAAGGTCAGCTTCCTGAAAGCAACCACTGAATGCCCGAAATCTACTGAGACTCTCAGCTCCGCTAGATGTTGACTAGACAGACAACACCCCCTCAATATGCAGAGCCTCACAGCCTTGTATCAAACCCAGACAGCGCGAGTCAGCGTTGGTCAAGGTCATCCAACGCCCCCGCACTATGCAGCGCGTCACAGCCTCGTACCAAAGCCAGACGCGTGAGTCAGCGTTGATCAAGGTCAGACAACGCCCCGGCAATATGCAGCACGTCGCAGCCAGACCGCGTGCATCAGCATTGGACCGAGTTCAGGCAGTGTCCTTCCAATAAATAGCTTCAGACCGTTTTGCTTTTCTCACTCGCACGCACTCACGCTCTCGCATTCGCTAGTTCGGAATATAGCCGTTGTGTTCCCTTCTGTGAGTCTTTTTTCGGCAACTAAGCATTGCAGCGGGTCAACAGCAGATACCACAGATTGGGGAATCAGCAGATATAACAGGAACTCTTCCGCAATGGCGAACTATTCACGATTCATGGGTTATGTTAGGTAGGCTATGTACTTAACACGTTAGAGGACCGTCTGCCGAGGAGAGCTGTTTTCGACCAGCCCTATGCTGAGTGGAAGCAATGGAGAGGCAGACAGTCAATGACCTGGATTCAGAGTATAAAGTCACTAATCAGTAACGCCAATCAGGTTGACAACTGGATGGACGGAACTCAACCCATTAATGGTTAATGAAACTGGAAGTTACGGCTCAATCACACATTTAGTGGCGTTGAAGACCGCAATCCGCAACTTCCTTTAAATAACTAGGTGGTTTAGTACGAACAAAATGGCCATGCCACCTACTCCAATACTAGACCATATCTCCTTCGCTCTTCACCAGTCCAGGACCGAAGCCTAAACAGCTGGAACCAACATGGTTTATAGCTGATGAACTGAACCGAAATGATACACTACTGCAGCTCCAATTTTCGGAAAAATAACCCCCTAGAGAGAATCTCTCCTGAAAAACCGCATCAAACACATGGTCTGTGACCACTGTCCTGCTGCCTGTGATTGCTGTATTCAATTAGAGAGCTGAAATAGAATAAAGTATTGCGGTCAGTGGCGTCGACATGTACCGACAAACATCATCATCATCATCGTCAGCTGTAATAACCGCGTACTTCTCGTACAGTGGTTGTAGCTGACAGTTTCGTTCACCGATGATTTGGTGGGGGGGATAGCTAGCTGCGCACTGCAGGCGGGAGCTGATAAATACGGCACTGTCAGTGAACTGTCAAGTGGGGGGATTGGGGAGGGAGCTATGCATTGAAGGCAATAGCTTGGATGCACGAGTGTCATTGAGGTCGCGACTGGGCCATGTTTGACAATGTTCCGAACCATTGATGTATCCTGTTTCGGAGTCCCTATCCAGGAAGACGGTAGTGACCAGCGCAGCTGAGTTTGCTGGTAATGGCTTACATACTTCGCTGCCAGGTCATTGTTTGGCCGCCTCTGGCTCTCTTCCACCCTTCACGTGGTTGTGAGAAAAGAACCCTTTGGGGAATTCGGTCGACATACGCAGTCCAGATTCGGGCAATGCTCCGAAGACATCGATGGTCAAACACTGAAAGTCTTTTGACGTCCTCGGCGCGCAGCGGCCAGGTTTCTGATCCATATAGTAATATGGAGCGCACCGCAGCATTGTAAACTCGACCCTTGACAGGGAAGCTGATGTCACGCCTACGCCACAGGTGACGTAGGTTCGCAAAAGCTGCTCTGGCCTTCCCAATCCAGATGGAAATATCATCTTTCGCGAGACCACCGGGACTGATACAGCTGCCCAGGTAAACGAATTTGTCCGCTACTTCAATTGGCTCATGAGCAAGCATGAGGCTAGGGTTCGATCCGACCCAGTCTTGCAGTAGCACTTTACACTTAGCAAGTGTGAAGCGCATGCCGAATCGAGGGTACCGATAAACGAAGCATCAGCAATCTGTCGTGGGCTAGTAGGGGGGCGTTTGCTACCAGAAAAATGGTCTCTTGTGGGGGGGGGGGGGGAGATCAGGAAATCGAAAACCAATTGTAAATACCTAATGAACACGTGTTGGTGAGGCAAGAAGACAGTCTTCAATAGTCGTAATTTGTGTGTATAAATAACAAATGAACTCGAAATATTGTAAAGACAAAAAGAAAAAAACGACAAGAGGAGAAATCCAAAAAAAGTAAACGGAATGCTTTATAAGGTATACACTTCATGAGTTGAGGGCGTGGGATAATCAGGAGAGTGTGTAGTCCTCGAGGAGAGAAATGCAGAGGTATCCGGTGGAACTTAGTGCGGATGAAGAGACCTAAGTCATTAGTCAATAAGCAACAGGAAAATGAAATCAGAGACACATTCGTATGCGGTTCGTTGTGAATGTTAACAGTGTCATGGGTGAATGTGTGCGTGCGTGTCTGTGTGTGGATTTAGGGGAGGCAAAGTTAGACTGTAGCAGAGGTAGAGTAAAGACACAACATCAAATGCGATTGAGTAGGATGATCTGGCAGACTAGTTGGGCAGCTGAGTGACCTCCACACAAATAAACAAAATTAACCGACAAGGTGTGGGATCAAATCATAACCATGAAGATTGACTGAATCGAGCGAAAGCGCACCCATAAATATTAGTAGGTAGAGACATCTCACACCGGCTCTCCGCCGGCCCCAACAACAACGTTCGTACCTGGAGCAGGGGCCTGTCCCGGTGGATAGGATAACTTTTCCAAGTCACTCAAATAAACCTCAGGTACCAGGATGTGTGTGCCACCGATAATCACATCCCACTGTTTTCCCGATGCAGTGTTCATCACCTCGTAGGCACAACGCATTTCGGAATACGAGACGCCCCCAACAACAAAGAATATTAGTCTAGGCCCAGAACGCGGTTGCTGACTTTTGTCCCGGTGCCATTGACCGTATCGTGCTGACATTGAGGCAGCGCCACCACGGGGACCCGGACCCCGCACGGGACCACCACCGAAGCAGGGGAATAGTTTCGGGTCAAGTTTGTCCTCACAAGCATCCTGGAAAAGTGACATGGGAAGTGGGAAGAAACAATACCATTAACGTGAGTAGCTTGGACTCAAAACGGAACTCAAAGGGTGAAGTTTCCACGTGTGAGCGAGATGAAACACACCAAACGGAATTCAAGCAACATTAAAGCCCATAGTTCAATGAACATTACTAAGATAGGGTCAGTGAATGAGGGACTGTTCAGTTGTGGCATCCGTTCAGTCAGCATTTTCTAAGCACGACGGCCAACAAGTTGCGGAGTCATCGTTCGTGGTTTGCGTAAAGTATCAGTTGGATTTTGACCATGGTTCAAAACTGTGATCACTGGAACGGCATTGAGCCGAATGGTGGAGTTGGAAGGAGATTTCTCTAGGTGGGAAATCAGTCAGTCTCTTTTATGAAAGAGAAGAGAATCAGGCTGCGCAACTAAACCACAAGAAAAATCGCCGAAGTTCAGTTTAGCAACAAAAACGAAAAAATTAAGGACAGTTTTACCTGGTCAAGGTGGCTACAAACCATACCGATCGGTCAACAAATCGCTATACTGAAGGAGAAAATTAACTACTTTGAGAAAATGGGTAGGGTATTTTGAAGGAAGGAAGGAAGTTATTCGGTAGCCTGCCAACACTCACCTCCATCAGGTCTTTAATGTATGGTGTCCAGCGAGACATTTGATAGCGTGGACCGTCCTCCTTCTGACGCCTGTTGGATGGTAAGTACGGCTGTGGGACCTTTCGTCGTCCAATACCCTGAAAAATAAACAAAATAGGAGTTCAGCTGAAATACCCTTTCGGTGTTTAGCTGTCTCGCAACCCGAAGGAAGTAAGAGGGCTGAGGTACTGCTTGGTTTCCAAAGCTCAGACAAAAGCAGCCGAGACGCAGAGGTTACGTTCGAACAACGGACCCTCCGGTCAGTAAAGTCACGCCTAAACCACCAAGCTGCCTCGTGGTCTCCGATACCCTGAGACAAGGCAGACACAGAAACGTACAACATTCTTACTGATAAACACCAGCTCCACCATAATTACGGGTTTTTAGCTGAATACCAAAAAATATTAGATTCGTCTCAAATTTCGGTATACCATCATCGCCAGTGACTCCATGTGATCACATCGACAGAGACGTTTCGTCTCACAGACGATCGTGTAGCGAATGCTTATTCATCTGAAGATAACGTTGAGAATGACCGATGAGCAGCACGAGAAATGGAAGTCAGGTGTTGCGCCCGAAAATGCTAAAAGAGTGAAGAGAATATCGGTGTCGCTTCTTCTGCTCAGTCACAGTGTGGTACTTCCCACACGTGACGTTCCTGTGCAGCACTCAAAGTAGTGTTCACTGTTGTGAATGGCACGCTGCGGTCAACTTAATTCTGTCTAGTAACCCCACTGATGAATCCAAAACGAATTACTGGTAATACTTACACCCCCAGCTGCATCTTGGATAACTGGTACGCCCAGGTTGGCCAGATTTCGTATGATATTTGCCTGGGGCGTCGGGATTTGAGCGTGTTGTATCAACTTGATCAAGTTTTCTTCGCTTGTTCCACAACGCTGGACGACGTAGAGGTAAATGATCCTCAGTTTGTCGTAGGCAGACACCGATTCATCGATCAGAATCGGAACCATCGTTCTCATATGGTCCTTGATTCGTTCGCCTTCTGCATCGGTTCCCATAGCTAAGTCCTGCCAAACGGGAAGATGGGAAATGAATGTAATCTGGGAGGGCAAACAACATGGGCTGCAGATCTAACCGACCAATAGGCAGAAAGTCGCTTTCAGGTAGTACAGATCAACACGTGATGAAGCGAGGATACTCAGCTCCACGAAATGATAGGATACGGAAGATGAACCAAATGCTATATGTGAGAATGCAGACACAAACATTTACCACCATCGTGGAGAAGAACGAGGAACACAATCCTCCGCTGCTTCCTGAAGATTTTTCTACTCGAAGAACCAAAGCAAGGGATAAGCACATTACAAACCTGTTCGACCTTGCACAACTTATTCGCATGATCCTGATAGGTTTGCATACAATCTTCAGCCAGGTGGAAGTGCGTGGAATACATGGACAATTCTTTTTGATATTGCGGCATTTTCTTCAGCATCTGGCTCAAATCACGCATCGAGGTTTTCTCACCCGCACTAACCATGCGTTTGTCTTCAGCGAACTTTTTCAACTTGCTGGTTACCTGAAATGAGATGGAAGTAGAACAAGTAAAAAAAAGCTTTTCTCACTAGGGACGTGACACAGTCTAAGACACCAAATTGCATTTGACCAGGAACTCATGTTCGCTTTGTGAATCAGCTTATTCTCTGTTGCATAATGACCCTACGGGGTTCTGCTACTGATAAGCACGAACCAACCAGGGGAACCATATGAACAAGAATGCTACCGAACAAAAACGAGCGGATTTCACTGCACAGCGCAAGATGTCTAGCTGCCAAAGTACGAGTGATCAAATCAAGGTAGAAGGGGATCTGGTCACTCGTGAAATCGGAGGCACAAACATAAGCAATGTCTTCCGGATTTCAACTGGTAGAGACTCGTCCATAGGCTGGAGGTCAGGTGTCCGTCATCACCTAAAACTTTGTCTTTCTGTGGGTCCTACACGCACCACAATACACTGCTGAAGCAAGTCAATATGATACACTCAAAAGCACTAACTGCATCGTTTTGATCAAGCTGGGGCCAAGATGGGGTTACGGCTTTTGCCAACCTCGTTGCCGATTGTTAAGCAATCCGAGACATCCATCTTTGTCTTCTTGTCGGTCACCATAAAGCAGTGTATCAGGCACACGTGAGTCAAGATCTGTGGGCGTAGACTTTGCACTATAGGTTAACTCGTGTGTGCATTACGTGTGCACCATGCGCGAATGAGTAATGCATTCAACTTGGGACGTCCTCATTTAGAATAAATGGTTTAGTGATTCCCCGATTTCACATGTCATTTTGCATGCTGAGGGTATGGAAGGTTTGGTACAACCAACGCATTAATTCGATCCATCACTAGCCAACACGAAAGAAAAAAGCTTTCGGCTGTAGCACCCTTCTGGTGCCTAGCTGCCATGCCACCCGAGGGAAGCAGGAGGGCTGGGATACTGCCAGGTTGCCCAAGCCTAGACAGGGGAAGTCGAGTGGCGGAGGTCGGATTCGAACCACGAACCTTCCGGTCAGTAAATCTGCGCTCTAACCACTTGGGCCATCTCGCCCCAATAGCCAACAGGAACACTGCTCAGCTAGTAATTTCCTGGGGGTCACGTGTCCGGCGCTAACGCCGACACCGCACCCATTATTTGAACCCAAGAAACCGCCGTTGAGCGAAGTGTGGAAACCAAATTATTTCAGCAGACACAGAAATGAAACAACTGTAGGGACACCGCGGTGAAGCACAAACAGATGTGCTGTGACTGATTTAGACGGATCAAGTCTATTGGTTGAAAATTGTCTGGATTCGCATCACTGTCACATGAACAGTCCTACTCCTGTCCCTGCATAAGGATGACTGTTCAAATGAGTGATGAGGACTGTTTCGAATCTCGCAAACCGACTGGACCTCGCTGTGGTGTGGCGGTTTGTATATCCCGGCGACTCATTGAGCTGTACTGCGGGGAGGATTCCGCGTGACACTCACAGGGTCTCTCATACCAGGTGGGTCCATAGGTTGAGGTCCGACGAACACAGTCTCCTGGCGCTCCAGGTTGGAGGGTTGGAACAGGTGTGGCAGCATGTTCCCTGAAAATAGCAATGTACTTGCATATCCAGCCCAACACTGCTGCCTTGCGGTTGTGCTTTTGAGCCAAAAGCTTTAGTTGGGGATCTTAATCGTCCTCCTCTCTTGGTGTGGGCAACCTGGCAGTATCCCAACCCCTGTACAACCATGACATTCACGACTAACAACACCATCATGCCACATCGGCCGTCGCGTGGTGCCATCAGCCGGGTCGCCTTACTTGTTGCACACAACCGGGCGGATAAGCAAAAACATGCTACTGCTGACACCCTCATTCTCACGCTTTCACGTTTTCCGTCTCCACCCATCCCCACACAAATTTGAATGCTGTCTCCGCAAGCCATGGTACTGGGACTGACCGTTTTGCTGGCCCTGAATCACAATCAGCTGCAGCTTCTGTACGTTCGAGTTCAGCCACAAACCTGTCTACTTAGCCACCTTCCATGTTCGCACACTGAGGCTCTTGCTCGTACACTGGGTTCCCTCTGCATTGATGTATGTTGTCTGTCAGAAATCAGGACTCAAGTAATGTTGTCGAACTGACCGCCGCCTCGCTCTCTTCCAGGTTTCGGCTGCGCACCTCTGGTGATGCAGAGGCCGCTGCAGCTGGATATGCTGGGGTGGGTATTGTATTGAGCGAACGAGCGGAAGCGTCTCTGCTTGATTGGACACCCGTAGACAGTCGCCTCTGGGCGATTCGTTTGGCAACATCGGTGAGAGAATCTAGAGGAAGTGAGGTTCAACGCACCTTGTTTATTGTTTCTGCTTACGCCCCAACTGACTGTAACTCTGAATCTGCCAAGGACAGTTTCTATGACGCTCTAGGTGCCCTTCTACAGCAGGCTAAAAGCTCAGATATCGTTGTGGTTGCTAATGATATGAGCACCCACGTAGGTAGACCAAGCGCTGCTGAGGCCCTATTGGGTGGTTGCCTTGAATTGGTTACGAGACGCACTGGCGACGGAAATCGCAGACTGTTGTTGTGCCGTACCGATTTCCGGAACAACGGGAATCGTTTGACGGTGTGATTCCCACTAACGAATTAGTCACGAATCTAAATAAACCACATTACCGTCAGTTACCGGTTGGGTGGGCCTATCACTGTCTGCCTCTCCTTTTGGGACACCAGCGTGGACTCCCACCGTGTACTTGTGCGCTACTGCTTTTCATTACACCTTTCAGATCTACACAAAACTTACGTGCCTTATTTAGCCAGTGAGAAGCTAATGAACCCAGAAATCAAGAGGAACTTTCAGAACTGTCTCCTCGAAAATCTGCCCGAACTTGCTATATCGGATATCAATGGGCACTGGCAACAGATATTCGCAGGGCTACTCAGTTAGAACTTGTGTTTTTTGTAATACCCAGCCAACCTCATCTAAACATTGGATTTCCACTAGGAACGTGACTTTGCTGGAGGCCTGGTGACAGAATACTCCTGGCCGCAATCATAACTTAACCCGACGCATCACTCGATGCAAGGTAAAACTGAATTTCGGTACAGACCACGAAGCTTGGTGGACTCGAAAAGTCTAAGGAATCGAAGATGTACTCAAGCGTCATCGTGCTGCTGGTCCTGACGACCTCCCACCTACTCTTTTCAAGGATGGCGGTGGATTCCTCAGCCAGTGTCCATCTAGCCTATCTGGGTCTAATTGGGAGGAGACCCTAGACAACTGGGGTGAATCGATAGCGGTATCCATTTTCACAAACGGTACTCGTAGTGGATGTAATGACCACAGAGGTGTTAGTTGACGCCAGTTGTGACAAGGCTTCTGGCTTCACTGATTCTTTGTCGTCTTACGGTGGTACGCGAAGTCCTGACTCGTGAGAATCAGGCGGGATTTGGACAGGGTATAGGCTGCGTTGACCACACCTTCACACTCAGTCAGGTGTTAGAGCAACGCCACATGTACAGGCTACCCACAATCCTGGTATTCCTTGACTTCAAGGGTGCGTTTGATTCTGTTGATCGATCAGTGCAGTTAACTACGCTTGCTCAACGGGGTATGCCCCAGAAGTTTGCAAACATAATCCGATCCCTATATCCATATACTTCTGGGCGGGTTAGAGTGTATGATGAGACAAGGAAGTCCACTCTCTCCATTCTTGTCCAACTCCATCATTGATGAAATAATGAGGCGAACACTGGACGGTCTTCAAAACCCCGGTGTGTGAATTGCTGCTCGTGAGAGCCTGGTCGGCCTGGAGTACACAGTAAACATCGCCCTAATCTCTGAAGACCAAAGTGAAGCACATGCCTTATTGAGTAGACTGACCACTATTGTACCTTCTTTTGGCATGCGTCTCAAGTGCAAAGTCATGCTTCAGAACGTACCATCTGCGAACATATCCCTTACAATTCAAGGAGAATCACTGGAGATTGTGGAAAACTTTACATAACTCGATAGTTGTATTAGCTCTGACGGAAATGTCAGTGATGAACTCAGTGCAAGAACCTCAGAGGCTCGAATCACGTTTGCTAATTTGCGTCACTTGTGGCGTCAGAAAGGCATCTCACTAGATCTTAAGGGTCGTACCAGGCGTACCAGGCTACAGTAAGGGTGAGGTGATTAGACAACGGGTATTTGGTTGTGCTACAGGTACTTCAATCCGGGAAAACATCCAGCATCATCCACTACGATGGCTCGGTCGTGTGCTACGCATGCCGAAACACTGTCTACCGAGACGAGTGTTGTTCTCCGCACCTCCTTCAGAATGGCGCGAACCGCGAGGCGGCAGAAGGGTGTGAAAGATATCACGAAGAGTTTGGGAGTTGTTGGTGTTGTACGCCTTCCAGGATCGGGTCCCCGTGATTCCAACTGTGCTTGGTTGGAGACGTTGCAGTAGATGGCGGCTAATCGATGTCACTGGCGTGCTTTCTGTCAGTTTTTTCCAGATTATCTGACTGAGCTCTTCGAGGTAGAGGTATCAGATTATCTGACTGAGCGCTTCGAGGTAGAGGCACCTCAGAATGCTTGATATGGGCTAGCACTAGGATCCACCCTCACCTACTTCTTTCTCTTCTTTTCACTTTAGGGCTTTATATATAATTAAACGACTGTTATGGTTGTACAGCGGAGAAGCATCAGTGTTGAACACTGATGTCATGCTGTCGATGATGACCACGAGTTAAACGCAAAAACTGTCACAAGGCTGACCGTTGCGTTTCACCTTAAAACGCCTGCAACGAGTTAAAGTGGATTTAAGCATTAAATGTGCATGGCAAGCTTTTATGCACAATCACTGGAGATTAGAAAGCCCCCTCGGTTGGCCACAGGACAAATACGGCAGCTGCGGTATCATGAAAAGGCGAAAAAACGTTCCGCGTCCACTTCGTCATTGGTAAGACATGGGAAGATAATTCGAAGTCATGATGGAAAACCTGATATGATGTAGAGTTTTGTTCAATGGGGGGAGGAAAATCCACATGCCAGCACTAAGGGGAAGCAGCACCCTGCATCAAGGGACCCAAGGAGCAAAATTCTTAACTTTTACTTGAACCGTTCAGCTGTAGTACCCTTTCGGTACCTAGCTGCCATGCCACCCGAAGGTGGGATACTGCCAGGTTGCCCAAGCCTAGACAGAGGAAGTCGAGAGGCAGAGGTTGGGTTCGAACCACGGACCTTCCGGTCAGTAAATTCGCGCTCGCCCCGCATTCCCTTTTCCTGAGATGATGAATCCTCGGAACATTTTTTCTAGATGATAATACCATAGAAAAAGATATTCAACTGTATCTACCGTTACTTTGCAGACGAGTGTGTTCCGCGAATTGGGTTGAGCCGTACACAACCGTCTTCGGATGGAAAATTCGCGGAAATTATACAGTACATAGTTGGGTCCATTGAAGCAAAAACATGATTTAATACCATGGACGAAGTGAGGACAGGAAGTCAGCCGCTTCTAGTGCAGAATATGAAAGTAATAAATTTGGACAGACACTAATGGCAATTTGCACAATTCCAGCAAACAAAACGGGGTGTTCCGGTCTTATCACAGCTTATCACATGGACGTAGGGGAATCAAGTACTGTTGCCCCATGACTAACAGTTAGCTCCGAGGGTCACACGCGCAGGAAAATTGACGAACAAACAAAGCATCACCGACCTGTTGTGAAACCACTGCGATATGTTGGTGGCGAAGCTCGCACCAAAGTTCGTCGGATTCGTCCAAAATGATTTCCTTGATTCGTTCCTCCGGTCCTGAGGTGTTTACGTAGCTAGTGAAGAGCAGTAAACAGATATCATACCGAAAAATTAGTTCAGCTATCACACAGTCTGAAGACAAAGTGCGCACCGCAATATTTTCAAGTCATCCATTCCTATACAAGAGCCAGGGAGGGGTCAAAGGATGCTATTGTTGTGTCTGCGAGAGCTAGCTGGGTGACTGATGAGCTTGATAGAATTTATTCTATCACGCTGATAGGAAGGAGACACAGGACACAAGATAATAGTCGTTCAGCTGTAACCCTCTTTCGGTGCCTAGCTGCCATGCCATCCGGAGGGAGCACGAGGGCTGGGGTACTGCCAGGTTGTTCAAGTCTAGACAGTTAAAGTCGAGAGGCAGAGGTCGGGCTGAAACCACGAACACTCCGGCCGGTAAATTCACGCTCTAACCACTTGAGCCATTTTGCCTCACATATATATGGGTAATAAAGGTATTATTGTGTGCATATCAACTATACTATACTATACTATACTATACTATACTATACTATACTATACTATACTATACTATACTATACTATACTATACTATACTATACTATACTATACTATACTATACTATACTATACTATACTATACTATACTAATACTTACTATACTATACTATGCTCAAACGGACTATACAGGGATGACGCAGTTTCCTGAATGGGATCCTGGACTTGGATGCGCTAGCAGCAAAGTATACAGACCACCATATACATTTTGGTAACAATAATTGTTCAGCTGTGACACCCTTTCGACGCCTCGCTGCCGTTGCACTCAAAGTAAATACAAGGGTTGGGATTTTGTCAGGTTGCTCAAGCCTAAACCGGAGTGGTTGAAATGCTGCGGTCGGGTTCGGACCACGGACCTTTCGGCCAGTAGGCTCCCCCCCACCCCCTAACCACTGAGCTGTGTCAAGGCTATGGAAAATGTTTTGACGGATCTTCGATTGGCCAACTATTGGCAGACGATCAACTAGCTCCATATTGCTGACTTCGGTTTGAGTCCAGTTTCATAGCAAAAGAAACATAAGTTTTGAGTGAACTGTTACTATTTAAGTGGATCGGGTAAATCCCTTCAATCTCCAGTTGTTCCAAATATCAGATCCTTGGTTGTCCCTGTGGCCTGTGTCCGCTACAATGCTGTCGAAAGACAAGCGTGATCAGAGGAGAAACTATCTCCCGATAAGCTATACTCCAATCAGTGAATGGTGTTCCAACAGTCTGCGAACAATCCCAGGGGACCAGAAAGCCCAAGAGATATCAGTTCAGAATCACTAAATTTGTAAGTTGAGAGTGACAACTCGACTAAACGATTGAACCACATCCCGACAAGACTAGCATACAAAATTACCCACTGAGAGACTCAGTGAACTCAAGCAACTGTATTAGCTGTGCCGGTCGTACAACGGCCGGCGCAATTCCAATTCCCACAACGTGAAACAGACAGGATAATACAGTGCGCCACACTTACCGATAGACATCATTCTCAATAGCCAGAAGATCATAGGCCATTGCCTGGAAGGTCAGTTCATGTAACACGGGGGAAATTGGGTCGAAACCACGATCCAGTATGATCAGCTGACTGCGGTCCTTTTGGGGACCCTGAGAACGACCGGGCGAGAAGGGGACGGAGCGGTGGAAAAAGTCCAAAAGAGTCAGAGAATAACACGGGGGTGAGAGTTGTTAAGGCTAACCGCGTCTGTCAGTTGAACGCAATGGGCTGTTAAGTGAAGATTAGGCAAGCAAGCGAATGGGCAAGCTCTGGCCATCCACAGTAGAATGTTCTCAAAGTTCCCACGAAAATGGTGGTCAAATCATGTTCTAAGCGAACAGATCCAGAGTTCAGGTAATATCTACGGAAATCTGTAATTGGTTATGGTGTGAAATTCATGTTTAGACTGGAAGTTCCAGTTGAAGCTTACTTCACTCGGAGTAAAGCAAGAGGGTCGACATCTCAAGTTGCACTAGTGCTCAGACAAGCTCCATTCCTGTCTCACACGGACGGTATCCTGGGAAGTAAAATGTCAAATCATTGCAAAACTGAAACCCAAAATGAAGCTTTGAAAATTGAACGGATAAATGTTTGACAAGAGACGCTTCATGGGGAGTTGATGTTACTAGAGACCGGGTCTAACGCGCCTGAAGGATGGTAAGAGATCTATCCTGCAGGTGTCATCGTACACTCTAAGGGGGTAATGCATAAAACTTGTCGATTGACTCTCATGTAAAATGATAGCTCTTCTCCCAACGTCAGGACAACATCTGCTCTGTAGGCCGATCACTACGACTCACGAATAGTATATACATAAAAAGTTCACGCACCATCCAAGCGAAGACCTCCCCCCTAATACATGTTCTCAACCAATTGCAATACGGGACAGACAATGCAAAAAGGTATTGTGTGATAATTACACCAATAACTTAAATGAAAAAGCAGAATCCATACTTCTGATCCTCTGGTGTATGAGAACACTAAATCTAAAGTGTTGCTTGATAGTGGTAGTGGCGATCACAGTCGTAATGAACGTGTTACTAGAGGTGACGTCACCGGGAATTAGTCCAAAGAGTTGGTGAAATGTGAATGCCCCCAGAAATAGAAGGTTTTTTTCGGTTTCCTGAGGACAGCTCTCTTTTGGGATGGTTTCCAGAGAGCACCCCGGAACATCGTGTCTACAGTGATGTACTGCCAAGCCCGCATTCAAATCAATCCCTAAGAGAAGAGTCAGCCACGAAGTTGTAACAGCTGCTTGGAAGCAATCGCCTCCAGTAACTGAGTACGTCCATTCGGTCACCTATAGCCCAAGGACGATAACAACACATGGCGACACATGTACGCGCTTATTGTCGCGTATGTCTATCCATCAAAGGACTGATTGTATTTTGTCAGGCGTTTCCAGTACGGTTTTTCAGTAGCTGACTGGAACTATCCGATCGTTTCTACTCCTTTCCAAAAATGCCCCAGTGACTACAAGAGGAAAACATCAACGCTTCTCGTAGAAAACGTCTCTGATGCCAATTCGGACTAAAAAAAGTTTTTACCCGGGGCAGTTTCAATGGCAACACAGAGTGGGTGGTGCGACATAATAGTTGGTAGAAAGCAAACATCTTTAAGGGACCAAACTGCCAACCCTCAGAGATAACTATTTCCCAGTATTGAGGTCCCCTAACTCGATCACCGGCATGGACCGTTGGTAGGACTTGTTTCTAGTTCACTTTCTAATAGGCGTGTGAGACGTCTATCGGTAGGTAGACGGCTGATTAAGCTGGCCCAAAACAGTTCAGAACAAAATCATATGTACTGGTCAAGGAGCGCCGCATCAACTCACGTTGAAAACCTAGTTGGCTTGAAACACTCTAGTGAATGTCTCGTGGTATGGACGCATACAGAACTGGACTACACAGAACTGTAATTCTCTTGTTCGTATTTTTTTACCGTTTCGAAAATAGGTATCTTTGGAAATAAAACAGGTTCACCGTCAAATTAAGGGTTGGAGTGTGGATCGAACACGAAAGTTATCATCTAACTATCCTTGGCTGATGTCAATCAAACGACCGAGATCCAACGCGAAAAAAATCGAAGCTGTACGAATGCTAGAGTCAAAGGTGTACACTTCAACTCTGGGGAGCCCAAAAGTGCATGGCAGGTTGAAGTCAGGTTGAGAGCACGGACAGAACGCATCGAAGCCAATTTGCAGCTGTCAAAGACCACGTAAATTCTGCACGATTTTGTGACTATGAAAGCAGATGTTCTGCCAATCGAAAAATGGAGGCTCAAACTGTGCCACTCAAATGGGTCATCTTTACAAAGCCAGTATAGCCATCATTCCCGTCCTGATTCTTGTTTGGCTGAAGGGAAACAAAGACTAACACAACTCACCTCACCCATTTGTGGATCGTCCGCTTTGTAGGCATCCAATTTTTGCTGCACCATTTGGGCGAACTCGGCTTCCTATCATNTGAGAATTGAAACAAAATACATTCAATCAATTCGGGGTAAAATGTACCGGCGGATCAAACTGAGGAACGAAATCTTACTCTGTAAGTGGTTCGGGAAGAACATTCAGTCGTAACAACCTTTCGGTGCCTATGTGCCATACTACCCGAAGGAAACAAGAGAGTTTGAAGCTAATGCGGTCGATCGCGGAATAGATCAGAGGTACAATTCACACATTCAAACAAATCCGTTAGTGAATTCTGTGGGAACCGCATGGAATAAAAGGCAAAGTTGTGTGCAACGTTCTCTTGGCGTGATTGGACAAGAAAACCCAGAACTGACCGACCATCAATGTAGAGAAAACACTGGTCATAGACAGCGGCTAACTGCCAGTCGGCTGTGTCGACAGTGTTGGAGGGTTTCAAACTCAGGATAAACCAAACGTACCAAGCGCACGAACTAAGGACTAAGATGAGGCATCAACTGGAGTATGGCGGACAAATTCCAGTGAGTTTACAGAACCGGATGTGCGCCTGCCTGAAAAACACTAAAGCTATTCACAATCGATGGGAAAGTCCTCCATCACCTTTCGGAGCGGCACCGTGAAGACGTTACCTCGACTGGTGGCGAAATAAATGTAACAAAATTACCAGATCCAGCAAGCACCTCAAACATAAAAAAAATCGTTCAGCTGTAACATCCTTCCGGTGCCATGCTACCCGAAAGAAGCACGAGGGCTGGGATACTGCCAAGTCGCCCAAGCCTAGGCAGGGGAAGTCGAGAGGCAGAGGTCGGGTTCGAACCACGGACCTTCCGGTCAGTAAATTCACGCTCTAACCACTTGAGCCATCTCGCCCCCATGAGCTATCTCGCCTCAAACATATAACCCGGTATATTCACATAAAGCCTGTCTATTGGGTTAAACCTGCATGCAAAACCTGGCGCGGCTGATCATCATGATTACTATACTGGTTATGGGGTTAGTTATTTGAGTAAATGGCTTTTTAGGTATTTATCAATGAAACCAGAGGACAACTTAGCGAGACCGAGACAAGTGGCATTGGATACAGAGGCAACGATACGATCTTATTTGTCTGGCTGCTAGCGCGAACTGAGGCTACTGGAAACAGCGCACAAACGCATCGCCGCGTTGGGCAGAGGATCCAGAGAGTCTTTGAGACACTACGGACCATGTATGCGTACCGTAGATCATACCGGTTGGGGCTACAGGAGTTGTCACAAGGCGAAAAAGGTGCAACAGATAGTACCTCTCATTCAGTTCATGACGGATTCATCACTATCATCCCAGAGAGCACATTTGTGTTCGCGCTGAGGCTATAGCTTCGCATAATCACAAGGATTTGGTCCTATGGTGAAAATGCCGAATCATCACTCACTGAGAAGAACACTGGCTTTTGCGTCAAATTTGCCGTGTGGAGACCAAGCTGCAAACTGGGGAGGGTTGAGGCTGTGCTCATCGTCGTACAAAAAGCGTGCAAAGTAATCCTACTGCCAGTGTTTTCTTCAGCCATTACAAGATGGCTGAACAGGAAGAGATGAACATTACAGATGACAGTGTTACTAGCGCACGGAAAAGGAAAACAAAGTCTGATGCATGGACACCGTTGGCTGTTCATTAGCGTTTCTAACTACTGGGTGCCTACCCAAGAATGCGATAGTTGTAGCCGAGTCAACTGACTACGCGTTTCATGAACTGACCTTTCGAAAATCAGCTTGTCTCGGTACATGACTGGACCAAATAGGGTCACGTGCAAGTAGGCACATTGTTGAAATTCGCTTCCACCCAGCGTGCTTGACTCGGTGGTTTTCAGTCCTAAGGGATGTTTGTGAAAGTCAAGCATTCGGTCCGACATATTCCTTCGATTTACTGTTTTGTATAAGATGCAGTTTGTCATAGCAAATACTACATTTAAGAGCCACTGATTCCAACGTCCCAGAAAGTTTGAATCGATAGCGATCGTAAAGGCCAGTAGCAGCACTGCGGTCTACGGACACGAACGACTACATACAAGCAGCCGTTTAAGCCACACACGCACACATGCGACCGGGTAAAAAGTGCCAAGTTCAGGAAACAGCAACCACCCATGACTCGAGGGATAAACAAATTGCCCAAATTTCGAATCAGCTAAAAGCGGTTCGCATTACATCGGAGCAACAAGCGCACAATTGGGCGAAATCTGAAAACAGACCACGGGAAAAAAACAATCGAACGAGTGGGAGAATCTGCAGACGGACACGCCCACAGTGTGTTGTTTTTGCATGCATAATGCAATGTCCCGATTTCGGGCATGCTCACCCGGTGCAATCGTTCACCTACAGCGTGATCAGCAAGGAACACCGAAACAAGGATGGACAGGCGGACAACACAACGGCGCGCACGAATCACGGTCCTGGCTTTCGCACTCCAAAAGGATGGGCGAGGAGAATGGGAGACGATATATGCACAGACACACAGACGCGCACGTCAGCTCTTCTCACCACCGTACTCGTTGGATAGGTTAGTGAAGTCACGCAAGCAGAAGCATTGACAGCAAAACTTGTCGTGTATTTCAGTAATATAGGAGGAAGGCAAGCATAAAAGCAGCATGCAGTTAATATTGGAAAAACAATCCAGTATGAATTCTGACCAAACTGGGGCTCATCAAGTGGGCATATGGCAAGATCCGTCGCGTGTCCTAGAAATGATGCTTGGATGCTCTGAAGTAGTCAGAGTTGCGACAAACTTCAGGGTACCGAATAAACCAATGAATTGCCCCGAATAGAAGTATATTAACAAGCAGTAATACAAATCCTGTGTTTCTTGAATATGGCATTACAATCAAGGGCAACACAAACCCAACATGACGAACGTCGTGGTAACCGCCATACTGGTACGAATATCTCCAAGTGCGTTCAGCTGTAGCACCCTTCCGGTGGCTAGCTGCCATGCCACCCGAAGGGAGCACGAAGGCTGGGATACTGCCAGGTTGCCCAAGCCTAGACAGAGGAAGTCGAGAGGCGGATGTCGGATTCGAACCACGGACCTTCCGGTCAGTAAATTCGCGCTCTAACCACTTGGGCCATCTCGTCCCTTATCACCAAGTAATTAAGGCTGAATATGCAGATGATGCAGTCCATACACTTCAGGTATGACACGATTGAAACCTCCCCCTGTATGGTTCTGGTGAGACCACAGTAATGGATTAAAAATCCACCAAACTGCTTGAAGTTAAGCAACGCCTCCTTCCCCCCTCTGGTGATGTTTCGCGAAACTTTGGGGTATGTTGACGACTGCCAGTGACTTGAGGTTTAGTTACTGAAAGACCAAAACATTCTTTCTTCATGTACGCATGGTACCTATCTGTTCAGCATTGTACATTTGAGGTGAAGACGGCCAGTCATTTAAATAGCCTCTTTGGTCAGGGCATACAGAAGAGATCTGCCTCCATTACCGAAGGAACTAAATTAGTTTTATGGAAAAGAGTGGAAAAGGGAATAGCTACCTTGAGCTGAAGCTTGACTCTAATAAAGCAAAAATAGCACAGTGGTTGGGAAGCGAACTTACTGACCGGAAGGTCCGTGGTTCGAACCCAACCTCGACATCAGGACTGCGCCGATCTAGGCTTGGGCAACCTGGCAGTAGTTAAGCCCTCGTGACATCTTTCGGGTGGCGTGGCAGCTGGGCACCGGAAGGGTGTCACATCTGAACACATTAGTACTATTATCATGAATATAAACTCTGCTCTATTCATTGTTTAGTGTTCCAAATTTATTCATAACTCCGAATTCCTGTAAAACCCTTGTAACAATCACTCTTTTCAGCACTCAACAGCTAGCTTGAAAGTGTTCATCCACTACCAAGTAATCGTTTCATTCGAAAACGCAAAACTTATTTTGATGAGTTTATAACTGAAGTTGGATGACAGACATTATGGGTGAAAGCATTGTTGGAGAAATCGGGGACTCGCATGGATTAACAATTGGCCCTTTTGCTGTACACGAGTAGCATGTCCGCCGGCATCGTTCTAAACAGAAGCAACAACACCTCCGAAAAAAGATCGGGCCAACGTCATCAGACAGATGTCTCACGATGAAAGCCAAAAGAGAATGCAAAGAGAGGCTAGCTTGGAAAAAAATTGGGTTTGGTACATTGTGGACACCCTTAGACGCTTGTAAATGGATAACGACGCTTAGTGTTGTAGGTCGATTGATACGATGCTATGTTTCTGCAGGCCAAAAGTTTACGGAACGGGGTAAGGTGGCTCAGTGGTTAGAGCGCGAATTTACTGACTGGTAGGTCCGTGGCTCCAACCCAACCTCTGACTCTCGACTTCCTCTGTCTAGGCTTGGGCAACCTGGCAGTATCGCACTCCTCGTGCCATCTTTCTGGTGACATGGCAGTTAGCCGCCGAAAGAGTGCTGCAACCTTATGGCTCTTCATCGATTCGATTCAAGTCTACGCAACAAAGAGTTGCAGCAGTACTGCCCTAAAATGACAGTAAACACTTGCAACTTTGTGGAACTGGACAACGGTGCTGATGAAAGGGGATGGATTTGCAGCCGAATCACGTATTATTGCTGGCTCCAACGTGGGTCTATGATTGCCTTGGAGGTAGTTTGTGAAGCAATGGTGCTAGCAATGTCTTTTTTAGTAAAAAAAACAACATAAGCAAATGGGATCGAGGAGGAATGAAACCTGGCACGCGAAGAAGCTTGGCTCTCCATTTCCTAGCTACGAACCCAAATCGATCACACCACCATCACTTACAGATGGAGCGGATCAGTAACTGACTGCCGCCCGATCTGGAACACAATTGTGGATTCTGACCACGCATTCGACCGGAGTTGCTACTCCCTTCATTTTCCGGGGTCTAGTATGGTGCGGACAAATGGCTTAGCAACCAAGACTGGTGAATTTATCAGAATCGTCTTCTGGAGTCTCTTCTACTGCACGCTGGAACCAGATCACCACCTATTTGTACAGTGCCGCGAATTTTGTCTGTGGCATCGCGCTACGACGCACGTGCCAGTGCAGAATATCAGACAGAAAAGTGGCACTGTTCGAATGTCGAAGAAACGTTCTCGCCGGTCCAAACATAGCTTGGCCCGACAAATTATTAGATGTCAAGTGAAAGTGAGCGTGCGCGCCAACCTTGAAGTCTGGTGGACACGGAAAGCTAAGGAAATGGAAGGGGACTAGAAAGTTGGGAATGCCCGACGATTATTTCAGTTGATCCCTGCGACCGGTCCCCGGAACTCACCTGTGAGCGAAACCAAAGTGGCGCGACCATCTCCAATAAGAAACGCATCGACTGCCGGGCCGAATACTTGGTATAACAATTCTGGTAGCCACCCGCTGCTAATTATTTGGGTCCTACAGCTGAAGTAGGACTTGGACGATGGATACGGAAATTCCTACAAGCTCGGGGTTTATAACTTCATATGTTCTCTCCAACGTCACCCAGGCCCCAGTTTGGATGACCTCCCACTCGTATTGTCTGGTCTGTTCGCCAGCATTCTCCCCTGACAATTGGGGAGAATCGGTGGTAGTGCACGTTTTCAAAAAAGGAGCTCGTAGTGTGTGCGGTAGTCACACGGGGACCAGATTCACCCTTGTCGGCTTAGGGTGGCTCGTGAAACACTAATATGAGGGCAGCAAGCGGGATTCCGGCCTGGTAGGGGTTGCGTCGACCAAACTTTCATACTACATCAGGTGCTAGAACATCATAATAAATAAAAATAATTATATTTATTATTTATTATTACTATTTAATTTCGTGATCGAGGAGACAGTGAGACGAACACTGGAAGGTATTTAAAACCGTGGACTCTGCCGAAAACCTTATCGATCTTGCATATGAAGACATCGTCCTCGTCCTCCGGGAAAAGACGCAGGTGCTTTTGGATGAACTAAACAAAATCGTCTTGTTCTCTGGCACGAGCTGTGTAGCCAAAAAAAAGCAACGTCATACTTCTGGACATGCAGTGACTGGAAACGCTGCTAGCAATTCAATGAGAGACAATCGACCGACTTGCTCGAAGTTATTTTCGCAGAACCACGTAAAGGGTCAAAAAGACAAGGGAGGTCAAACAATGACTTGGTAGGGAAGCATGAAAGCCAGTACCAACAAACTCGGATGTGCTGGACATTACCGTCTCCTTGGATAGGGACTCCGAGACGGGACACATCAATGGCTAAAGACATTCCCAGACGTGGCCCAGTCACGCCTCCAATGACCCTCGTGCATCCAAGCTATTGTCTTCAATGCATAGCTCCTCTCCCAATCTCCTCAATGAAAAGTCAACTGGCGACCTGGTACTTACGCACTAATTATATTAGCCACCGCTTTCAATACGCAGCTACCTACACCATCTCCCCAAATCATCGGTGAACGGTTATTAACTCGAGCTATCAAGATTCGGACGCTCCAGAGTCCACGGACAATGGTCGCCTGGATAAGCGCAATCCTGTCCATCTAACCTGTAAAGCAGGAATTGGTATAGATCAACTGCCCTCAAAATACCATGCTTGTTACTGTCGACAGCCTTCAAGTTCTTATCACTAGCAATGATAAAGTTCGCAGCTGCAGCCACGGTCAGCCAGGCGGAAACAAACACTAGGACTGTGTTTTATCAGAAACCTACTTCTCGAGCAAAAGGACAGTGATGTGCAACTATCAACTGGAGGACATAACTTTCCACCTGAAAGTTACGCCTGGTCCGTATGCGCTGAACGAACGCAAATATCAGGGTGATGGTCAGAATCGACGATAGAAAAAGGTCATCGACCGCCAGACCTTGAAGCGAGGAAGACTGGGAAACCGATGACGGACGTCATAATTTTTAAACAAAAATAATTTTATTTATTATTTATTATTACTATTTAATTTCGTGATCGAGGAGACAGTGAGACGAACACTGGAAGGTATTTAAAACCCTGGACTCTGCCGAAAACCTTATCGATCTTGCATATGAAGACATCGTCCTCGTCCTCCGGGAGAAGACGCAGGTGCTTTTGGATGAACTAAACAAAATCGTCTTGTTCTCTGGCACGAGCTGTGTAGCCAAAAAAAAGCAACGTCATACTTCTGGACATGCAGTGACTGGAAACGCTGCTAGCAATTCAATGAGAGACAATCGACCGACTTGCTCGAAGTTATTTTCGCAGAACCACGTAAAGGGTCAAAAAGACAAGGGAGGTCAAACAATGACTTGGTAGGGAAGCATGAAAGCCAGTACCAACAAACTCGGATGTGCTGGACATTACCGTCTCCTTGGATAGGGACTCCGAGACGGGACACATCAATGGCTAAAGACATTCCCAGACATGGCCCAGTCACGCCTCCAATGACTCTCGTGCATCCAAGCTATTGTCTTCAATGCATAGCTCCTCTCCCAATCTCCTCAATGAAAAGTCAACTGGCGACCTGGTACTTACGCACTAATTATATTAGCCACCGCTTTCAATACGCAGCTACCTACACCATCTCCCCAAATCATCGGTGAACGGTTATTAACTCGAGCTATCAAGATTCGGACGCTCCAGAGTCCACGGACAATGGTCGCCTGGATAAGCGCAATCCTGTCCATCTAACCTGTAAAGCAGGAATTGGTATAGATCAACTGCCCTCAAAATACCATGCTTGTTACTGTCGACAGCCTTCAAGTTCTTATCACTAGCAATGATAAAGTTCGCAGCTGCAGCCACGGTCAGCCAGGCGGAAACAAACACTAGGACTGTGTTTTATCAGAAACCTACTTCTCGAGCAAAAGGACAGTGATGTGCAACTATCAACTGGAGGACATAACTTTCCACCTGAAAGTTACGCCTGGTCCGTATGCGCTGAACGAACGCAAATATCAGGGTGATGGTCAGAATCGACGATAGAAAAAGGTCATCGACCGCCAGACCTTGAAGCGAGGAAGACTGGGAAACCGATGACGGACGTCATAATTTTTCTTGATGGTACATCAGACATAAAGCATGAGACCTCTGGAAAAGCCGTTCCAGTTCTCACAAACGGCATTGCAGACCATGTCAGCAGCCCATACTGGAAACATACAGTTAGTAGAGTGGGCTCCATACGCATACACACACACACACACACACAAATGCTGGCTGTCTACAAGTAACTGGCCTGACAACACAACAAAAAGGGACGCTAACCTTCGATAACGAATTAGAGGATATTCGCCCAAAGTCGCGCAAAGAGTAGCAATCTGTTCCGCTATTCGCTCCAAATGATGTCCCTGTTGTCTAACAGACGGGTTGAAGTAGTACTGGAAGCTCAGCGGTGAATCGAGTGAGAAGACTCGTGATTCCACGGGCAAAAAGGCGATATTGATCTCCTTGAGAGTCTTCAGGAAAACGGCGCAATTGGAGTGACATAAGCGATTGAATAATTCATCCGGACAAGCTATTTTTAACCAATGAGACCAAGGAAAGTGGGAAGGGCGGGAAAGGGGAGATGGACGTCAACTCAGGTAGGGCACTTGTGAAGGTGCAATAAATTTAAACTGCTACAGAAATGGCGAAAATTGAGGCAGGTAGGTTTCCGTGACGAATATTTTTTTAACAAAACATGTGATCACGCAGATGACGAGCGAACAAAGTGACTGATAAAACAATATGGCAACAAGCCAGTGATTGAACAGAAGATCGAAACAGACTCCAGCTTTCCGAGTGTTTCTGTCTAGGTTTGCACAACCTCGCAGCATCTGCCTTCTGGTTGCATCATCATCATCATCATCATCGACAGCATGACAGAGAGACCATCGCAGCCATCATTATCATTGGCATCGGTATTATCATAACTAGCAGAACCTTCTGGTTTGTGTTCCGGAGGTGTAGATAAAGTTTGGAATTTTCTTGGCTTTTTTCTTGTTTCCTTGGGAAAGTAGGTGCTATCTCTCAACCACTGAAACAGCTAATGGGAACAAATGGAGCCTTTCTATGGACTCCCAAACTAGTTAGATGAACCGCTAACAACTTAGATGGGTTGTTTGCAACTGATTTACCGAATATAAACCGGAAGTATAAAAGGGTTAGATGGTAGTAACAGCATTTGTATCGAGATCGCTCTGAAAAAATAGCACATGGAAGAGAGTCCCTGGCACGTGTACGGGCCCGCGAAAAGTGGCACACATAACTATTCCGACGCAGAGAATAAGACACCAAGGCAATTTACAGAGTCGGAGACTCCAGGTATGAATGTTAGGCGATAAACTGGTCAAAAGCATAAAACAACCAGCAACCAATGTAGTAAGTTGAGGGATTTGAATTTCTAGAACATAATTCATAATACGCACACGTGGTTGCCTGACGGCCAGGAGAAACCATGCGAGTTAAACACCTAGTTAAACACCTAGCTCTTAGATAAACCGCGTTGTTAGTGCTAAGCAAGAGAAGAACAATCCGAAACTACCTCGCTTACTGATGAAATCACGAGTAACACTTGCTCAATAGAGAATATTCCAGAAGTTCGTGAACAAAATCCGATCCCTGGGGTGGTACTACCCTGCGCATGTGCGAATGGAAACCTCTCGAAAAGCTTCCTTCGTCCTTTAAGGACATCCACTCTCTCCACTTCGTCGTCAAAAGATAACTGCGGCGAATTCCGGCGTTCAAATCGTTACTGGTGAGAACCCTGTCGATCCTAACCCAAAGTCCTAATCTTTGAAAGTGAAGACAGCAAATGCGCGGCTAAATAAACCAACAACCACAATACCATTTTTCAGTGTGCTTTGAACCTAGAAAGTGCAGATTCTTGTGTCACAACATAGTCTTTGGACATCTTCTTTGCCATTCAATCAGAAACAGTATGAACTGTGGTGAACACATATATATCATTCGTTTCATTAGCCCTGACGGAAATTTCTAATGAAGTCAGTGGAAGAATGTAAAAAGTGAAGATCACGTTTGCAAAGTTGCCTCACTCATGGAGTATGGTACACAGTGTCTCAAAGACCCAATGTATCAGAATGTAGTAAGGAAGGTGCTGTTGTATGGTTGTCTTCAGAATTTTGAACACCGATGTCTCAGAAGCATTGCTGGATCCGGATGGCGACAGAAAATCTGTAACGAAGTAATCAGAAAACGGGCTTCCGGTTGTGCAGCAAGTGCACCGGTTTCGACTGAACTACTGCACCACCAACTGGTTTGGGGACCTAACTGAACGGCAGAATATCCCTCCACTGCCGCTTCGAGTGATCACTCGACTGTGAAGTTAGAGGGAACTGCGAAAGCCAGCAGCCTTGTTGTACACTAGATTCGACGTCAAACTCTGTGGTCACCTCCCGTATACCCGTATGCGATCTTTCAGTGATGAGTAATCATCATCATCAATTCTGAAACTCGCGCACCAAGGGGGAGATGGCTCAGTGGTTAGAGCACCAATTCACTGACAAGAAGGTCCGTGGTTCAACTTCCCCCGTCTAGGCTTGGGCAACCTGGCAGTATCCCAACCCTCGTGCTTTCTTCGGACGGCATAACAGCTAGGTACGGATAAACGATTTTTTGGCATTTTTTTTATAATGCACCAGTAGTACATACTGGTGCTTAACTGCCATGGTGAGTAACAGAACTTAATGAGGTTCATTAGCTACTCGGAGACACCGTCAGCGAAGAAGACCGTCTTCAGTGACTCGAGATTGGTGACCCGACCTAAAGCTGCCACCTTGACGTGGTGGTCGGGCTTCAGTGCTGCAATGATCCCGCGGGCTACACTGGCTGGAACTTCGTTCCACAAGGCTCAACCATGCCAGGAAGGTCAAAGGGGATCAGCCAGACCAAGAGCAGCGAGATCCCGTACTACGAGTAATCGTGCTACGAGGCGGCCTGGAGGTAAAGTCGTACTGTCCTCTGCGACAGGAGTGTGAAGGCAGTAAGGTGTTTCCCCCAGGCGACCAGCATGTCCATATTTATGGAAGCAGCGATGCTGCCTTCCCCCGAGGAAGGACGGGTTAGAAAAGGTCGGCCCCAAAAACCGCACACTCCGATCGCCCAACGGTTGA